CCCTCAAGACATCAGGCTGGCCTGCTTAGTGGAAGTTTTTAAAGCTAAGCTAAAGACCCACCTGTACACCTTGTCCTATATGTGGCTTAAATTTTACATTTGTATTTTATCTTTTTCCCAATGTTTTACTTGTTCTCACAACTTCTTTTGTATTGATTTTTTCCTTTTTTTTTTTACTGTTCAGCACTATGTTGAAAGCGCTTTTTAAATAAAGTTATTATTATTAAGTTATAAACAAAGTTGCATGCGCAAAAATGAGCAGAATTGTAACAAAAAGTTTGTTGAGGTCTTGTCATTTTAAGCTCCTGCTATGACACCACAGATTTCTATTACAATAAATTAAAACTGATAAGAGAAAAATACCCGCTTTCAGAAACTYAGAAGTAATGCAGTGGCAATTTCTACAATTTTTTTTGACTTTTCAGTAAGGTTGTACATAAATGTAGTCACACCTGTTTGAAAACCTCAGGTTGTTGCAAAACTGTTTGAAAAACTTACAGGGGTGTTAAGTGTCTCACTTAAAATATCAAGGTAAAAGGGGAGAGAGAGAGAGAGAGAGAGAGAGAGAGAGAGAGAGAGAGAGAGAGAGAGACTTAAGCCATGAGCTTCTTCTTTTGCATGTAAGTGACTTTGATTTTATGAGAGTTTCATGTGTGAGAGCTTTATGCTTTATCTTACGTTTCTGTCTGGTGAAACATGTTCTGACTGGCTGGACAGGAATGACCAGCACAACATAAGCAGCACAGTGGGTGTGTTTTGCTTTGCACATTGTGGTGATTTGCAGGAAGGCTAACAGAATCCCTCTCTTTGACAAGCTTTGCTGTAAACAAACACGTCTGCACCAACAAACTAATACAATCTTGTAATAAAAGCTGCTTAAATTAACAAGGCTCCATATTTATCAGTCTGGCATTAGCACGTGGTTTAGTTTGTCCAAATGCTAAGGATAAAATATTAGGATAAAGCTGATCTCAGAAGGAAAGTATAAATTACCACTATTTACAGCCATGTAAAATCAAGCTATTAATCAGATTGTTTTTACTTTGAAGATCTGAAATCTCACAAAAACTTTCACTCTAAAAAAGGGAAACCTGAGAGAAAATTTGAAATACGTTGCAAAATGGAGCAATAAGTTGAATTTTTAACACCACGAGTAACTTTGATTTCAGTACAAACATGAAAACAAGAACATATCAATGATTATCCTGCTGTTTGGTGATAACTATTATAAGGTAAAAAAAGTTGACATATTAGACATTATATTTTAAAGATCCTAACTTTAGTATCATGACCAGGCCCACAAAAAAAATTACCATTTTTGTAATCAAATATAGACCTCTACTTGAAGACATGCATTTGGGTTTGTCCAGTATCRCTTTGATTGATTTGGTTCTGTGAAATTGATTAATTTTGATTTGATTTATTTATTTAACAGGAAAAGATTATTAAAAATCAAGCCTGACTCAGCATAATTGCTGTTTTACA